GAACATATGTTTTCTCAGCTGCTTAGTAGGACTATATGTTCTTCTTCCATATGGACAGTCACACAGCTGGATGTCTTTAGACATGTGACACAAGCCACTAATACACACAAAGAACAAACATAAGACAGTAACTTTCTGTGGTTGAATTTAGAGCTGTTCCAGTTTCTTTATCTTCCCGATACTGATACATGGACTTTGCGTATCGGCTGCTACCAAGTAAATATCCGATACCAATGCATTTATAGCAATAACCACTTCTATAAAGTACAGCTTTAAGTTACTATGTTGCTGTTTTACTTGTGAGACTTTTATCTTGAAAAAATCCCAAATTACTGACATTTCAGCTAGTTCTGGCTAATGCTACACTACTGGAAATCACTTCTTGTTCTCCACTCTAAAAACAGGACTCACCAGTGGCAACAAAGAACAACAGTAATGAAGAAGAAGTGATTTCCGGGAGAAGAATACAGCAGTTTTGGCATTTCCGATGCCGCTATCTGTATCAGAATCTATATCTCTAATTAAACTTTAACATGAACACAATGAAGTCTTACCCAGACAATTGATTTTGTCATTGCTGACGTAGCCATCTTCACACATGCATTGGAAACTGCCGGGGACGTTGTAACATTTTTGATTACATCCCGCTGGAAATTCAGGATCTGAACACTCGTCGATGTCTGTCAGTACATCAAAAAGAAAAATGTTTGCATTTCAAACACCGAAATATATTAGTCTAATTTTAAGTACAACATATTACAGCAGGATGTTTATGCTTAACTAAAACATGCAAAATCCCAAATTGTGTATCAGGTCTCACCATCCTCACAGTGCAGCCCCTTCCACCCGGGCTTACACACACATGTGAAGGTGGCCAGGCCATCCACACAGCCCTCTGAACCCTCAATGTAGCATGGAAATGGTGTGCACTGGTTACTGATCTCTGCAAAAAACAGTTAAAGTCACTCACACGCAGGGTTGTCATTACAAATATTTAACTTCTGAAACAGAGAGTAATTTATAATCCTCGGGAAAGCTTCTCACCTTTCACACAGGTGCGGAGGTCAGATGGGATGGCAGAGTCCGAATTCTGGTTGATGATGCCAACACGGTGTGAACCAAGACACACTGCAACAGAGAGTGGTGTTCATCGAGACAGGCTAGTAAAGGTAAAACTTAATTTTATCGCAACATCTTGTAATATACAGAAAACCAAGAAAACCTACCAACATATTTGGGATAGAAGTAGTCCTGCAAAAAACAAATAGAGATTTGACAAATAGTCACTTTTAACAAAAAGACAAACAAATGAGAGAGAAGGAGACGAGAGCAGCTCTTCTCTGAAGCAGTGAACCAGTCCAAATTAAAGCTTCAGCAAAACCTCTGGCTGCATCAGCATTTCAAGTTTACTGTTCCTAAATTTCACTGTTTATAGCTGATATGATTAATCGATTGAAAAAAGCCAAATTGTTATTCAATTCAAAATGTGTGTCAGACAAAAAAATAAAGAATTTGAGAAGGCCAGCTTGAGCTGTGGGAAAGTACAATCTACATTTTGTGTTATTTTTGGACAAGTTACTGACAATTTATAGATTCATCGAGAAGACGATTTACTTGAGACTCTAGTCTGATCTCTTACTTGTACTTTCTTTCACTCCCGCAGCTTAATTCATTTCTGAGATATCCGATCTTCTCTATCTTTCTCATTCGCATCCCATAAATTTGGTCACTGCTTTTTGAACTGCTTATAAACTCAGGAATGTAATGAACGATGAGAATATATAGTGTTTTCCTGTTATTTTCTTATTCTTGTTATGTATATGTGTTGAAGCTCAATAACATGTATTCTATCATTTGATCAAGGCTCTGGTTACCGTCTCCGGCTGGTTCTCGAAGATCTCCCTGGCCTCCTCCTTGTTGCACAGCTCCTCGATGCACTCTCTCTCCAGGTTGCCCTTCTTGCTCTCCTCAAACAGAGAGTTGGCTCTCCGGTGCCTCCTCAGGAACTGGGAGGCTGAGGTCTGGCTCAGGACTGGGAAATAGACACACAAACATCCTCACTTAAACATAATGTGTGAAGAATCCTTCTATTGTCAGCATTCTGTGCATTAGGGCTGGTAAATGTTTTGCTGTTTATTAGCTGTTGGTCATTATCTGTTCATAAAGAAGAGTTTAAAACCACAACCTTCACTCAGGAGCAAAAATCAATCTTTAAACATAAAAGCAGCAGTGGTACAATTATTCCTTTTGAGATGCAGTGGCACAGAGGTAGAAGGCTGCATAAATACCAATATTAATGTAAACCACAAGTACCTCAAATGTGTACTGAGGTACAGTGAGTAAATGCACTTGGTTACTCTCCACAACTGCTTAAGTGAAATAATGTGATAATTATCGTGATAATATCTATCTATCTATCTATTTATCTATCTATCCATCCGTCTATCTATCTATCAGTCTGTCTGTCTATCTATCTATCAGTCTGTCTGTCTGTCTATCTATCAGTCTGTCTGTCTATCTATCTATCTATCAATCAGTCTGTCTATCAGTCCGTTTATCTATCTATCCATCCATCCATCCATCTATCTCCGTCCGTTGATCTATCTTATTTTCCATCCATCAATCCATCCATCTGCTTTTCTATCTATGTATCAATCCATCCCTCCGTCTACTCATCTATTGCAATGTAAAGTACAAGTACCTCAAACGTGTACTGGAGTACAGTGCCTGAGTAAATGCACTTAGTTACTGCTTATGTGATATTATCGATATTGACTGATATGAACATGGTGGACATATTGTCCAGCCTCAGTTTCTCTCTATCTATTGTAGTGTAAAGTAAGATATGAACATGTTAGACATATTATCCAGCCTCACTAACACTCTTACAGATTACTCTACTCTCACATGTGTGATTCATACATTAAACCAACACATGGTGCAGCAGGAATGTCAGCCCTGTGTTTCCTGCTGACAGATTCGAGCTGATGTGGCTGAAGTGGACCAAACCTAATTACACTCCTATGAAACGGCCTGACAGAAAAAAACCAAACACAAAATAACAAGGTCATTGCGAAACCGTTACTTCCCAGAAATGACCCGAGGCTGTTGTCACGAGCGGCTCGTGTTGTCCAGAAGTCTGCGAGAAGAAGTCACGACACTTTCTCTGGTGTTTGTCCAAAGATGAACACTCTGTGGTTCTGAGGAAAAGCTGCGGGTTTCTAACCGGGACACTGAGCCCTGTTACCGTGAACACCGTGAACACCGAGAAATGTCCGAAACACTTACATCGATGGGCATCGACGAGCGTCACGAGAAACACGAGACAAGCCAAGGCTTCCCCGAGAGGACGTTTCTGTCTCCTCCACATAGTCGAGCCGTTCTTCATGAGAGGCCTCGTCTGGCTCTGAGCTGCTGACACTACACAGAGAGAGAGGGGGAGAGAGGGGGAGAGAGGGGAGAGGGGGAGAGGGGGAGAGAGGGA